CTAGTCGGGAGGCTGAGGCAGGAGAATATCTTGAACCCAGGAGGCAGAGGTTGCAGTGACCCAAGATTGCACCAATGTACTCCAGCCTGGGCAACAGAGTGAGACCCCATCTCAAAAAAAGAAAAGCTGCTCTATAGGCAGAGCAGGTGCATGTGCTGCTCGACTGAATATGCTTATAGTTGTTTATTGATTATATGCTAAACAAGGGGTGGATTATTCAGGAGTTTCCGGGTAAGGGGTGGGCAGTTCCCGGAACTGAGGATTCCTCCTCCCTTTAGACCATAGAGGGCAACTTCCTGACGTCGCCGTGGCATTTGTAAACTCGTGGCACTGGTGGGAGTGACTCCTAGCATGCTAATATAGTTGGTGCACAGTGAATAGCGAGGATGACTGGAGGTCACTTTTGTGGCCATCTTGGCTTTGGTGGACTTTGGCTGGCGTCTTTGCTGAATCCTGTTTCATCAGCAGGGTCTTTGTAACCTGTATCTTATGCTGACTTCCTATCTCATCCTGTGACTATGACTTAGAATTCCTAGCCTCCTGGGAATGCAACCCAGTAGGTCTCAGCCTTTTGTTACCCAGCCACTATTCAAGATGGAGTTGCTCTGGTTCAGTTGCCTCTGACGGCTCTCATTTTAGAAAACCAGAACTGGGCTGGGCGCTATGGCTGATGCCTGTAATCCCAGCACTTTGGGAGGCTGAGGTGGCTGGATCACCTGAGGTTGGGAGTTCGAGACCAGCCTGGCCAAGATGGTGAAACCCCATCTCTACTAAAAATACAAAAATTACCCAGGTATGGGGGTCGGGGAGGGGGGCGGGCGCCAATAGTCCCAGCTACTTAGGAGGCTGAGGCAGGAAAGTCACTTGAACCCGGGAGGCGGAGGTTGTACTGAGCCCTGAGACTGCACCACCGCACTCCAGCCTGGGCAACAGAGTGAGACTCCATCTCACAAAGAGAGAAGGAGAAAAGAAAGAGAAAGAGAAAGAAAACCAGAACCTATGGAAGAGGCTGAGGAGGCCACGCAGTTCCTGGCCCCAGCTTCAAAGAATTACTGAGGCATGAAGGGATCTTCCTAGGACTGACAAGGCCCCTGGAGGCAAAAGGATTTGCCTGGGGTTTCAGGGGCCAAGGTCCAGTAGGACCTGACCCTTGCACTCTGCCAGCTGCTCCCAGCTATGTCCAGGCACACCCGGCCTTCCCAGCGGCAGGAAGGACACGCACTTCTTTTCTTTTTTTGAGACGGAGTCTCTGTCACCCAGGCTGGAGTACAGCGGCATGATCTCTGCTCGCCACAAGCTCTGCCTCTCTGGTTCACGCCATTCTCCTGCCTCAGCCTGCTGAGTAGCCAGGACTACAGGTGCCCACCACTACATCCAGCTAATTTTTTGTACTTTTAGTAGAGATGGGGTTTCATCATGTTAGCCAGATGGTCTCGATCTCCTGACCTCGTGATCTGCCTGCCTCGGCCTCCCAAAAGGTGCTGGGATTACAGGCGTGAGCCACCACACCCGGCCGCCCGGCTAATTTTTATTTGATATTTTTAGTAGAGACGGGATTTCACCATGTTGGCCAGGCTGGTCTTGAACTCCTGACCTCAGGCAATCCACTCACCTTGGCCCCACAAAGTGTTGGGATTACAGGCGTGAGCTACCACGCCCGGCCAAGACTGGCACTTTCATTCTTCCCCTGGTACAGATGAGGGATGTGAAGGCCCAGGAGCAGCTGACCTCAGTAGTTTCTACCCTGAGCCTGGAAGAGAATGATCAGGCCTGACCTGAGCTGTTGCTTTCTGCTGGGGAATCCTGGCTCTGATGTGGCGCTTCCCACAGGCCAGGGACCAGCTCCAGGTTCCACAGGATTCTTTTCTGCTGTCAGCCTCAGGATTTTTAGTCATTAAGGTCCTGGACACAGGGATTGGGCTGGCTGGGATTTTAGAACTGGAGGGACTTGTCCATTAATGGACAAGGATGGATGGACAGTGTTTTCCATCCTGGGGCAGTGTTTGCCTGAGGTTCCCCAGGGTGACAGGAGGTAGGACCACAGCCCCCAACCCTGATTGCCAGCCCACCCCTGTACACCTCCCACCCGCATCCCCTTCAAGTAGGGAGCGTAGGCCCAGGGCATTAGCAGGTCAGGTGGGTGGGGCCAGGGCCCTGGCCCGGCCTCAGCTCAGGGCCCTAGGAGTCCCACCTCCCTGGGAATTCCCCCGCTGTAGTCACTGGGATGGAATGCACACAGGTCCCTGGTGGAGGTCCAGACCAGCAAGCTGGGAGGGTGGGGAGTGTCTCAGTCTTTGTGTGGGAGTGGATGTGGATGGGGTGTGGGATCAAGGATGTGGCTTAGTGGCGGGGGGGGGCCACCAGGGGCTTCTTAGTCCCCCCATTCTGAGAGTGGTGGTGCCAACAGGGCTGGTTTCAGGATTGGGAACCAGGACACAGGTCTTAGAGCCCCCTCACCTCCCACAAAGGAAGGTAAGCTGCAACCCCTGTGGGAAGCCAGCCTCAGCCATCCAGGGCGCTCAGCACTCCCCAGACCTGCCTGTTCCCCTTGTCCACCGTTTCCACCAAAGCCCACAGGTGGGCCTGCCCCAGGATTCTTCAGGGAAGTTCAGAGACCGAGCTCTGGATGTTCAGGCATCCCTGGGTGCACGGGCAGGCTGCCTCAGGAGACTCACCTGCTGCTGACGCTAGTGGGCAGTCACGGGCACAAGAGGGCCTGGGACTCACCACGCAGGCAGTGCTGCTCCCTGGTGTCTCTGGCACCTCTGGGGCCACCCACGGATGGGACCTCGCGGGTATCTCTGAATCCAAGTGGGAGCTGGAGGAGGGATGCAGGGAGGCCCGCTCAATGCCTGCCCTGAATCTGACACCATCTTTTATCCTCTGGGCCACTCCCAGCCACACACATTCCATTGGCTGGGTGGGTCCAGGTACATGTGGCTTCCACAGCACAGCCACACCCTGACTCCTATGTGTGCTCCCTGCAGTGACATGTTGGCCCTGCGGCTGGCCTGCATCGGGGACGAGATGGATGTGAGCCTCAGGGCCCCGCGCCTGGCCCAGCTCTCTGAGGTGGCCATGCACAGGTAACCGGCCTGTGCCCTGCCCAGGCCTCTATACCTGGGGAGGGGCCCTGGGCGGTGGGTAAAGGCCCTGAGTGCAGCATAAGGCTGGGCCCTGAGGAAGCCCTGTGGGGAATGTGTCCTGACACTCTGGGGCTGTACTGAAACCCTTTGCTGCTTCCCGCACCTCCCTGGGAGCCCCCAGCTCCTGGCACTGGCCCCCTGCCACCTGTCCCTGGCATTCCTGGACAACAGACAAAGCAGAGCCCAGGGCCCTTCTCTCGCCATCCTCATCAAGCCCAGATGGTACATTTCCACCATGGTCTTTAAAGGAGGTGCTACGTGAGCTCGGATCCTAGACCCTGAGGGCTGGGCCTCTCAGCTAGTCTCCGGTGGGGGAACAGAGTGGGCAGTGGCTTGCCAGGGCCCTGTAGAATGGGGGTTTATTTTCTATGTGGCCAGCTCCGGAAGACAGGGCCACTGGCAGGCGGCTGGCTGGGGAAGGAAGCAGGAAATCAGAATGAATTTCACCACAAACAGGCCCCTGCAGGTGAAGGTGCCCATGGAAAGGGCCCCGGGTGGCTGTGGGGTGGGAGGGCACAGGCCCCTGCTCCCCACAGCTGTGATGGTGTCATCTAAGTACAGGCTGTCCCTACCTGTTCCTGCAGTAATGGCTTTGTCCCCCCATCCTCTTTGTCTGTAGCCTGGGTCTGGCTTTCATCTACGACCAGACGGACGACATCAGGGATGTTCTTAGAAGTTTCCTGGATGGTTTCACCACCCTTAGGGAGAACATAATGAGGTTCTGGAGATCCCCGAATCCCAGGTCCTGGGTAAGAGCCTTAGACATTCCTGACCCTGATTTGCTCTGCGGCCAGTGGGGGCTGTCAGAGCTGCTCCTCAGGGCGCCACAGTCCCCATCACTCCCTGTCATCTGCTGTGTCATCGTTGTCCACATCCGCTTGGTCCCATAGGCTTCTGAGTTTGGGATTCCTGGTTATTAGTGCACAAACCAGTGCGTGGTCCTGGGTCTCCCTCTGGCCCGAGAGCCTTCACCTGGCAGACAGGATTCTCGTCTCCTCGCCAGGGCAGAGGCCTCCCTGAGCAGCCGTCCTGGCAGCCTGGTGCCACTCTGCACTGCCCACCACCAGGGCAGCTGACCGCCCTGACCTGTGTCCACCCTTTGCCTGTGTCCCACAGACTGGCAGCCGCTGGCCTCTTTGGCCATGTCCTCAGGGCCACTTTCCCCCTCTCCTGAACTCCTTCCTTCTCTGGTTCCCTCGAGCTGCTTCCCAGTCCCCACCTCCCTGGGCTTCCCCTTGGAACTCTGCTGTCACCCCTGTCTGGCTTCATTGCTGGGGCCTGCTCCGAGCCTGACTCCTCTGTTTTGCTCCCGCAGGTGTCCCGTGAACAGGTGCTGCTGCTGCTGGCACTGCTGCTGGCGCTGCTCAGCGGGGGCCTGCACCTGCTGCTCAAGTGAGGCCCCAGTGGCTCAGGGCGGGGCTGGCCCCACCCCTGTGACCACTGCCCTGGAGGTGGCGGCCTGCTGCTGTTGTCTTTTTAACTGTTTTCTCATGATGCCTTTTTATATTTAAACTCTGAGATAGTGCTGGAACACTGCTGAGGTTTTATACTCAGGTTTTTTGTGTTTTTTTAAATTCCAGTTTTCGTTTTTTCTGAGATGAATTCCTATGGCTCCGAACTTGTTGCCGGTTAACTGTGGCTTGTGCCCAGGAAGAGCCATTCACTCCTGCCCCCGCCCACACGGCAGGTAGCAGGGGGAGTGCTGGCCACACCCCTGTGTGATGTGTGATGCCCTTGGCAAAGAATCTACTGGAATAGATTCCAAGGAGCAGGAGTGCTCAATAAAATGTTGGTTTCCAACAGACTCTGGTCCTCTCTGGGGGTTGGCAGTACCTGCACAGGCTTCCTCTTGCCCCAGGGAGGCGCACCGTGTTGGTGGGGAGGGCAGGGCCTGTGTGTTCCTAATCAGATCCTTCCCTGCAGCCGGGGACCACAAATGCCGTCTTGGTTTGGCCCGACGGTTTGCCTTCTCCCTTGTCCTGGTCTGTGGTGTAAAATCCACTGTTGGGGCTTATTTCCTTTGGGCTTTCAGTTCCTGTTTAGGGGATGCCTGTCTCTCCCTGCACAGACTTCCCGCCAGAAGGACGCAGCCGTGGCTGTTCTACCAGAACAGAGCCCCTCACTCTCTGGCACACAGTAGGCACTCAATACATATGTCTTGGGTATGTCAACAAATGTGGGACTCTGTTTCCCAGCTGTCAAGTGAGGGGGTGAACAAAACTGACAAGGCCAATTGGGTTCTACAACCTTTCAGATTTGTGACCAAGGAGCCCTGGGGGGCAGGCTGGCGGTGGAGGAGGGGCTCTCCTAGCACTGGCCCAACTTGAGGCCACACCAGCATGTCCCCAGCATCCACAGAGCAGTGCAGCCTGCAGCAGCCAGCACGCCCCTTCCCACTGAGAGGGCACACCCGCCCATGGTGCAGGGCTGGCAGAGGCGGGGCCAGGCTTCCAGCTTCCCCACACACCAGCCTCGTGGCATCATCCTTCCCAGCATCCAAACGTTTTTCCAAGGGGGGAGAAATGGACTGGGTCATGTAAAGAAATACTCATTTTTAGGGCTTTTTATGTGGCCTTCAAAGCACGTTGCAAATAAATCCCTTTCACTCCTCAGAGGAGGAGCCATTAGGAAGGGAGGGTGTGGCAGGCGCAGCCTACAGCCTCTCCTCAGGAGGGCAGAGGGCGTTATCCCATTTGAGCCCCTTGCAGTCATCTCGGGGGCTTCTCAGGGTCCAGGTCCACAGGTTCGAGGGTCTGCAGCACATTCACGGCGCTGTAGGACTTCCAGGCCTGCATGTTACAGCTCTTCAGGATGGCTCCCAGCTGCCTGCCGGGGCCCACTTCAAAAGTTTGGGGAAACTCTCTGCCCTTTTTCCTTTCATATATGGCATGCATCGTCTGCTCCCACTTCACCGGGGAGACCACCTGCTGAGCCAGCAGCTTCTGGATGTGGCTGGGATGCATGTATCTATGCCCGTGGACATTGGAGTAGACAGAAACCAGAGGCTTCTTAATGTCAATTGCCTTTAAAACTTGCGTCAGGGGCTCCACAGCTGGCTCCATGAGGCGGGTGTGGAATGCACCACTAACCGGTAACATCCTGGCGCGTCTGAAATGAAACTTAGAGGAATTCTTCTGGAGAAACTGTAGAGCCTGGGGAAGGAAGGAAGTTTCAGCCGGGCAATGTCCCAGAAATCCGCCTTTAGGGATCTGACCATTCACACGGCCAAACTGGGAGGGTGACCACAAAGAGACCCACAGCTGTTAGATGTGGACATATGACCTGTCTGTCCCAGCACCATCCCCAGGCAATTCACTTAACATCCTGGAATCTCTTCTGTCTCATCCCTCAAATAAGCACAATTCCATCTACTTCACAACGCTGCCAGGAAGAGCAAACCCTACAAGGCACGCAACAGTGTCTGGTAAAGGAAAAAGCACTATCTAAGAAGTGTTAGTTCTCAGAATTCTATCACTCCTTTCATAATTTTTGACCAGTCTGTTTGCTTTTTATTCCATCATCTTCAAAATAAAAATTCAGAACTAAAATTCAAGCCCCATTTCACAAAGCAGGATCTGGGATATTGTCACCTTCATGTGGGGTTTCTCTGGAGGAGAAAAGAGCTCTCTTGATGCCAAAAACCTCCCCTGGAGGCATCTGAGCTTAGAAGGGGACTCGGGCGAGCCAATAGCTCCAAACCCTTGCAACAGTTAGCAAGCAACAGAACTTGCAAAGGTCTTTAAAATAGCAGATATTCTTTTAATTTTTATTTTTTATTTTTTTTGAGACAGAGTCTCACTCTGTCGCCCAGG